AAGAGATGATACCATTTTTGGTTGTGCAATTTTATTTGGAAGGCAAAAGGTTTCCTGGAACTTCCCTTCATCTTCAGATATCTTCAGATGACTTCTCAAAGGCTGAAATTTACACCACTCCTAGCAAGGTTAGGAAAACAAAATACATGGGAATATTTGGTTTTCCCATCCCATAGGCAGGCAAGTGAGAGAGAAGTTGGGGATGAATGCTGGTCTAAGTTACAGGGTTTGCCACAGTGAAAACCAGGAAACACCAAAATATTCAAGAATGTAAGTCTGAGTATAATGTATTACATGAATCCTGGGGAGCTGTTACAAACTGTGGTATAAAGAAATACTTTGTGGCATGTAAAATTATTCATAAAATGTTATCAACTAAAAGTTAACATACAAAACAATAGATGAGAAAACATCAAAGTTGTTGGGGTGACCTAAGTTTGGATAGGTTTTTAAAAGTAACATAAATATATGCAAAAATTAAAAAACTGAAACTGATCCTCTGAAATGTTGACTGAGGTTGGGTTTTGCAGGAAACCGACTCTGAGGCAGAGATCTGCATGCAGGTGGTTTAGCACAGAATACTCTGAGAGGCAGCACCTGCAAGGGAGGCAAGACTGGGCAGAGGGAGAGGGTGAACCACAGGGCAGCTGCCACAGCGTTGTTTCCGAGGTGAGTTCTGAAGCTGGATGTCTCAGACTGTCCCTTGTTCCTTTTTTAAAAATTTATTTTGGCTGCACTGGGTCTTAGTTGCAGTATGCAGGATCTCCCACCAGGGATCAAGACCACATTGAACCCTTTTTTTTTTTTAAAATAAGCAATTATTTATCTTTGAGGTACTGTGCCTTGTACCTTTACAGGTGACCAGTCATGGGATGTGGGCTGTCCCCAGGGAGGGGATGTAACCTAGTGTGAGGCAGTTGCCTTCACAGAAGGTAATTCTGGAGAACAACTCAACTGTGAGTCATCGGCAGCCAAGATTCCTGGCAGCTGTATGCTGAGCTCCAGGCAGGATACCACAGTGTTCACCGGAAATGTCAACAGTGATTAACCTCTGGGTTTGCGGATTAACGTTGGTTTTCTCTCTTTTAAAAATATTTTCGTAATGAATATAACATTGTTCTAAGGATTAAATGAGTTAATACACAGAAGGCACTTAGTAGAGTTCCTGGAATTTATTAGGTACTCAATAAATTTAGCTGTAATTATTTTTTGTGTGTGAATAGCTAAGAAAAGAAGAGAAGCTAAAGGCAAAGAAGAAAATGAAAGATATTCCCATTTGAATGCATAGTTCCAGAAAATAGCAAGGACAGGTAAGAAAGCCTTCCTCAGTGATCAACCCAGAGAAATAGAGAAAAACAATCAAATGGGAAAGACTAGAGATCTTCTTCAAGAAAATTAGAGATACCAAGGGAACATTTCATGAAAAGATGAGCACAATAAAGGACAGAAACGGTATGGATCTAACAGAAGCAGAAGATATTAAAAAGAGGTGAACAGAATACACAGAAGAACTGTACAAAAAAGATCTTCATGACCCAGATAACCATGATGGTGTGATCACTCACCTAGAGCCAGACATCCTGGAATCTGAAATCAAGTGAGCCTTAGGAAGCATCACTATGAACAAAGCTAGTGGAGGTGATGGAATTCCAGTTGGGCTATTTCAAATCCTTGAAAGATGATGCTGTGAAAGTGCTGCACTCAATATGCCAGCAAATTTGGAAAACTCAGCAGTGGCCACAGGACTGGAAAAGGTCAATTTTCATTCCAGTCCCAAAGAAAGGCAATGCTAAAGAATGTTCAAACTACCGCTCATCTCACATGCTAGCAAGGTAATGCTCAAAATCCTTCAAGCTATGCTTCAGTAGTGTGTGAACGGAGAACTTCCAGATGTACAAGCTGGGTTGAGAAAAGGCAGAGGAACCAGAGAGCAAATTGCCAACATTTGTTGGATCATAGAGAAAGGAAGGGAATTCCAGAATAACATCTCCTTCTGCTTTACTGACTATGCTAAAGCCTTTGACTATGTGGATCACAACAAACTGTGAAAAATTCTTCAAGAGCTGGGAGTACCAGACCACCTGACCTGTCTCCCGAGAAACCTGTATGCGGGTCAAGAAGCAACAATCCATGGGATTGCAAAGAGTTGAACACGATTCAGTGACTGAATAACAGCAACAACAAAAGTCACTAAGTTTCGGAGTCATTTAATACACAGCAGTAGATGGCAAGCATATCGTCAACAGCAAACATTTATTGCTACTGTCCAAAGTGTCTTGCTAATAGACTAAATCAGATGATCCTTTAAGGTAACCTGTATTTTTACAGCGTCAATGCTTTAATAGCCTATCATGTCACTGATTCAGTATCTTTCTCCTACAAAATTCCTTTAAGACAAGGAGAATCAGCCAATCAAATATAAACAGACATTAATAAACATCCATTAAGTTTGTAGAAATAAAGAACCTCAGCTGAAGCTGGAGTCAGAACATGTCTGCAGGGAGAGCTCATGTCTGCATCATCAGTTGCTCCAAACTGTAACAGACAGACCCCTGCCTCTTTCCCACACGAAGGTATTGCCTACTTTACTGTTTAGCAGGAAGAAGAAAACCATCTTTCTGGCCAACCACTGCCCAGTCAATCAAAGACTGTAGCACCACAAACAGGGAAAAGCCTCCACAGGCCATACTTTGAACTCTCTGCTTCCTCCCGTGAACTATTTAGTTATGACAGCCCCTTCAGTTCAGTTCAATTCAGTCGCTCAGTTGTGCCCAACTCTTTGTGACCCCATGGGCTACAGCCTGCCAGGCTTCTCTGTCCATGGAATTCTCCAGGCAAGAATACTGGAGTGGGTAACCACTCACTTCTCCACGGGATCTTCCTGTCCCAAGGAGCGAACCCAGGCTGCCTGCATTGCAGGTAAATTCTTTAGTATCTAAGCCACCAGGGAAGCCCTTCCATGTCCTCTGGACTTGCCAGTGGTCCACCATAGTTTCCATTACCTGAATTGCAATTCCTCTGGCTATTTCTGAGTAAACTCTTCTGCAGGTAAAATAATTGGCTACTATTAAATTTGATAAGTTCAAGGTATTATTCTAGGTGCTCTGCTGATTAAAAGGTCAGATGTTGTGAACGATAAAAGCAACAATAGTAACAATAAGTGTTAACTAGTATTTATTAAGCATCTATTTTGTCTTAGTGTTTTAGACACTGTGCATACACTCTCATTTAACCTTAATATATAGAAGAAGGAAATGGCAACCCACTCCAGTATTCTTGCCTGAAGAATTCCATTGACAGAGGAGCCTGGCGGGCTATAGTCCATGGGGTCACAAAGAGTTGGACACAACTGAGTGACTAACACACAACCTTAATATATATTGCTAAATGTTTTCCCGGAAGGTCACACCAAGTTACACTCCCATCTGTAAGGTATAAGAAGAGAGTCCCTGCATGTTTACCAGCACATAAAAAAAAATTTTTGCAAAATCTGGTAGGTGAAAAATATAATAATCTGCATTTCTCTGATGACTAGATCTTGATATGTTAAGCACATCAGACCTCTGCCTGACATACAGTTACAAAGATCTTTCCCCCAGGATGGCACTGTGTTTTCTTGAAATTTTTACAAACAATTCAATCCCTTCCTGGAATTGTAATTTCTTCCAATTCTTTCATAATTATGTTCTTCTATTTCTAGATCAATTAAATTTTCATTTGTATTTCTTTCTAGTTTGTTTATGATTTTGTTTTTTACATATGCAATTATTTTTTGTTGCAGGATACAGGGGGAAAGTTTTTTTTCCTTCCCCATAATCATGTCTCCTTCACTATTAATTGAGTTTTCCTTTCCCCACTCATCTATGATGTTACCCTTACTATCTAAGGAATTCTTACATATCTTGAGTATGTTTATGAGCTTTAAAACTGTCTTTCACTGCCTGTCGGTTTTGGTGCTAGCACTACACTTTTTTTTTGGATTACTTACTTTTCTATTCATTCATTTAGAACCATCACATTGTCTTCCAGGAAGCCTTGATTCCTCCAAAAAGACACCACGGCTGCCTCCCTTTTTACCTTTATAATATAAAATTCTGCCTTGTATCACAGTTAACAGAGTTGATCTTACTGAATTATATTCTTGACAGCAAGCAACAGATACACTATATATTCATTAAAATCAAATTATGGGATGTTATATTAAAAGGTAACAATGGCAGAACAGATCTCATTTGACCAACAAAATGAAAACCAGCAAGTCCCTCATTTGACTAAGGAACATCATTGCGCCATCCATGATGAAGAGATTGTAAAGTCTAGGTTACCCTAGACTCTGCTTTAGGGAAATCACCACTTTGTAGGGGAAAGAGACATGTAAATTTATGTGACTAAACACATTATAACTAAATAGTATTAAAAAAAAAAAAGCATGTACAAGGAAAGAGTAATAGCTAAGTGAGAAGTGGGTAGTGTCTCAAGCGGGGGACATACACATGAGCTGGGTTATGGAATTTCTTAAATGTCAGAAAAATTTGTAACTAACCTGAATGGCGAAGTGGATCAATTCAGATTCTTTAACAGAAGTTACATTAAGGCAGCCTTCATTCTGAGAACTTTCTAAGGAAGCCTGAGGTAGTATGGCCAAGCCCAGGAGCAGCTCTGCGCGGAAGCCCTTTCGTTAGCACGAACTTGAGAGAACCCCCACAGAGGCGAGAATTAACTCGCGTGACTGGGTGAAAATCAGACATGAGGAAAAGAAATAAACGTTTACCTACGTGAGGCTTCTATAAACCACTTACTGGGCTTGGTTTGAAAGCAATGGCTACAGAGTCCTTGCTGTGAGAGCCAGCACGCTTCTAGGCCTCAGTCTCAAATCCTAGCCCTGCGCCTCAGGCTCGGCGGGGCCCAGGCCAGAGGTTAGCCCAAGCACTACTGACGTCACGTAACCGTGACGTCATCAGCACTGACGCAGTCTCACGGGGCGGGGCCTCTCAGCTCACCTCTGAACGTCAGCTCCACGGAGCAGCGAGTTGGCCTCTTAGCGCTCTGCCCTGAGGGTCCGAATAGTCAGAGCTGCGGGAACGGAAGCGCCGAAGCGGCTCAGCAGCTGAGGGGCGGTCACCCGTCTCTCGCCTGAACTCTTATCCTCGTCCTCTCTGAGGCCCAGGCTCGGTCCGGGCAGCAGCGCGCTCACGAGCCCGCCGCTTGCAGCGGTTACGCGCACGCACGCTCGTGCGCACGTTCCCTGAGAACCCGGAAGTGCGAGGGAGAGGCGAGCCACGTGGGTGGAGCTGGAGCGTAGCTCGCATGGGGGAGTCTATCCCGCTGGCCGCCCCGGTCCCGGTGGAACAGGCGGTGCTGGAGACGTTCTTCTCTCATCTGGGTATCTTCTCTTACGACAAGGCCAAGGACAATGTGGAGAAGGAACGAGAGGCCAACAAGAGCGCGGGGGGCAGCTGGCTGTCGCTGCTGGCGGCATTGGCCCACCTGGCCGCGGCCGAGAAGGTCTATCACAGCCTCACCTACTTGGGGCAGAAACTAGGTACCTCCGCCCCGCCCCCCGGTGCCCCTGGAGGAGGAAGGAAAGGGAGTATATTCCCCGATCGGCAGTGGCTTGGGCTCCCAGTCTCTCTGTCACTGGTAGCCGCTGGCTCAACTCTGCACTCCCAGGTCTCCTCCCACCGATCCCTTCCTTCCCTCGGCTTCCACAAACCCCGCCCACCGGCCTGCGCGGCGCTTAGATTGGCCAACTGGGTGGATGGTCTTTGCAGGGCTGGGCTCCAAGAGGATGGCTGTATCCATTTTTCTCATGCGTGGATTGGTGCCATAAGTGAGAAGTTACGGAAACTCGCTCTCTACCCAGTGACACTGCGGCGAGAGGAGCAAAACTTGGCAGTACAACCTAGTTAGAATTAATAAACACTGTTGTCTGGCCTCTTAAGGCTAAGGCCCCAGAGTATTACAGATGGAGTCCTACCCCGTCTTCGTAGACCCTCAATAAACATTTAATGAATCAAGGGAAAAAAATGAATACTGGACAGGAAAGGCAAGAAATATGCCTAACAAGAGGGGTATTACAGAGAAAATGGTAAACACGCTTATCATCCCATGATAAACCTTGCCCCTGAAAATCAAATGCAGGAGCTGATTCAGCTGATTTTCACTAGTAGACACAAACAGTATGAGTAGATCAGAAGGAAATAATATATGTGAAAGCCAAAGGCTCTACATATAAAGTATTACTAGTAATAATTACCAATATTATGAATTCCAGAGTTTTTAAGAGTCTTTTTAGTGCCTTGGCCTGTTTTAGACTCTACAATATCTGAGGCACGGGGTCTGGTATGAATAAAGGACACAGACACAATATAAACTAGAAGAGTACAGCTGAGTGCAGATTCCAGTTTGAGTTTTTTCCCCTACTTTCCTTCTATTGCCAGAAGGTGACCCTGTATATCTTGCTTTCTGTAAACACCCAAGGGGCAGGACTTTCTGAGATCTTTGCTTTAGCTTTTCAAACTATGTCAAACAGTATCTTGTTATTTAATATGTTGACTTGTTGGCAAGAACTAGTCAGGTAGTTTCACCTTCTGCATTTTTTCCTCCTTTCCTACAGTGGCACTTTTCATAAATTTACAATTGCTGTTGCATTATTGTAATTCCCCTTTCTATGGATTGGCAAATTGTGTGTGTGTGTGTGTGTGTGTGTGTGTGTGTGTGTGTGTGAAGTTGTGTGAGTAGGTGACAGAGCCTGTACCAGAATACCTACCTTTGAACTGTCAGATTGTGTTTGTAACCATATGATTTATAAAAAATTGTAGATGTGTTGTAATTTACATACTATGTATTATGTCATTTACATATTATTATGTATATATGAAAATGGAGATGATCCTGGCTATAAAATTGGTGGTGGGTAATTTTCTCACGGTTTTAGTGTTTTTAGATCCCCTACCTCATGAAGATTGGTAATTGAACCCAGAGTCACGTTTTTTAGGTTTTTTGTTTTAGCTCACCTATGAGAATTTGGGAACCTGTGGCCTCACTCCCCAGAAAAATATATGTGTAATACAATTTTGCACATAACCTGAAAGTATTCAGTCGGATTTCCTAAAGCCTAGGTATGTTGTTGTTTAGTCGCTGACTCATGTCCAGCTCTTTCCATCTCATGGACCCTAGCTAGCTAGGCTCCTCTGTCCATGGGATTTCCCAGGCAAGAATACTGGACTGGGTTGCCATTCTGACCCAGGGACTGAAACCACATCTTCAAGTGGATTCTTTACCTGCTGAACCACCTGGGAAACCCATAGCCTATGTATAGACCACAGTTAAGCAATCCAAAAAAAGAAAGAAAAATCTACTCTAGTTTACATTGTATGTGCCTGGCTTTATGTGTCTGATGTGCATGAGAACATGCACAAGGCCATCACTGTCTCTGACTTGGATTCTGTGAAGTGGCTCTTATTATGTAAAGTGATTAGTTCTGCAAGGACCCCAGCTTGCATGGGTGAGCCTGAGGACTGTGCTTTGAAATTGATCCACAGAGCAATTTACAGTAGGAAACATCCTCAGGGCTGTTGAGGCTCCCATCTGATCTGTCATTTCAGAGTAAATGTTCTGAAAATGGCATGTTTAATGCCTTATAACTTATTCCCATGTACAGTAAATGTAGGTTCCAGATGTAAAATTTTAACTTTGCAAATACCTTACGGTTTTTTGGTATGGGAATGTTTGTGCTATCAACGTGCTTACAATATGACTCCTTGATTATTGAGCTGACTCTCCCATTTTCTTAAAAACTTGGGAAAATTTTTGCGTTGCCACTTAATACAGTCCCATGTTCTTCAATTACTTTGCTATTTAGAATACTTATCTGGGTTTTTTAAAAAGCAAAACAAAAAGTTTATGTATACCTTTTAAACATGTAGAAAGCATGGTTTTAAAAAGTGAGTCTTTTTGACCCTACTTTTGTGACTGTTTATTGGAGACCTTAGCCGTGAATCCTGATTATAAATGGAAGGGTGGAACTTTAGACAAAGGACAGAACTGACAGGGAGACTTCTGTTCCTATCTTGGCTCAGTTGAAGAACTTTGGGGGAAGTGCTTATCTTATAGCCTTCTCCATACTCTGAGGGGAGAATATACATATTTGGGAAAAGAAAGTACCTGTGAAACCGAAACCAACTGGTGTCATTTCCGGGGGCTCCAAAGAGCTCTTGGGCCACAGTGCTTTATGTCTCAGCACGGAGAACTCAACGAGAGCAAAGTGATAGATAAGAAGTGATTTATAAGAATAGGACCCTTGTGAGGCTTACAAGCGGGTGGGTGAGAAATGCTGCCCCTTGTGAACTTACACGAGCAATAGTTTTATAATCAAAGGAAAAGTAGCAGGGAGAAGAACTTCCTTGTCTTCCTTGAGTAGACGTCATGGTTCCATCATCAGCTCCTCCTCCAGGTTGGGCAGGGGAGTTTTCTTGTCCAAACATGGTCAAGCTAGGTCCACAAATCATTGTTTTCTATGTGTCAGAGAGCGTGTCAAAGTGGTGATCATTAACTTACTGAGCTCACTGGGGAATATATGAGTCTCATGCCCCCGTTGTTTTAGTGTTTGGGCGCATGTCTCATGCTTCTGCAGCATGGTTTTGTTGCTAAGCAAGCCTGCTTGGTTTCGTGATTAAGCAAACCTACTTTTTTGAATAATCAGTAACTTACAAGGGCCTCCCATATTTTTCTACTTATAATCACCTAGTGAATTTTAACTATATAATTCCCTACTTTGCCCCTTCGCTCTGCCGTTATCACTTGTGGAGGACTTTAGAAGGTCATACTTTCCTCCCCTTTGTTTTGTTGTTGGAGAGTTTCCTCGACATCTGGTTGCTGGAAGTTACCATGGTAGAAAATGACTTAACTTGAGAACTGCTGTTTAAAGGTTATCATTAGCAAGAAGTTGTGGAATAAAATGTGCTTAGAAATTTTGCACACTCCTTTAATATACTTGCTACTTGAAATTTCATGATACGAGATAGACTGTTGAAATCTTAAAAAATAATGAGCTTTCATGAAAATAGACTTCTAGAAATAATTCAAAATAATTATATTTTGTAAATTCAAAAAACTGAGACAAGAAAGAAGCCTGGTTTCTCTGGCTGTGTTTCCCAGCATGAAGGAAGCCCTCTCCCCATTGGGTATTTCAGTCTGTGTGTGTGTGTGTGTGTGTGTGTGTCTGTGTGTGTGTCTGTGTGTGTAATGTATGTGCTCGTCATGTCTGATTCTTTGCAGGCCCCTAGACTGTAGCCTGCCAGGCTCCCCTGTCCGTGGAATGTTCCAGGCAAGAATACCGGAGTAGGTTTCTTTCTCTCGGGGATCTTTCCCACCCAGGGATCCAACCTGAGTCTCCTGCATTGGCAGGTGGATTCTTGACCACAGAGCCACCTGGGCCTCCCATTCCTCAGCAGGACAGTCACCAAATAGGCTTGTGCTCCTGAGAGCTTTGAGAAAAAAAATCCATTTAAAAGAAATGCATTGGTGGTCTTTCCCTTCCTTAAAGTGTCAGTTCACTTGATTTCACATACTAGTAGTGTATGTTTATGGATAAGCTTTAAAAGGTATTCTTTATGTTTATGTGGCGTTTCCACACCAAATGCGTGTGTGCATGTTTAGTCGCTTAGTCGTGTCCAACCCTTTGAGACCCCGTGGACTGTAGCCCGCCAGGCTCCTCTGTCCATGGAATGCTCCAGGCAAGAATAGTGGAGTGGGTAGCTGTTCCCTTCTTCAGGGGATCTTCCTGTCCGAAGGATCAAATCCAGGCCTCCTGCATTGCAGGCGGATTCTTTACGAGCTGAGCCACCAGGAAAACCCTTCCACACCCCCTAGATAACCCAGTTATCTATCAAGTAGCTAGCTGTTCTTTGCCAGTGCTTGAAGCTCCCAATGGACCACAGAGTTGTGGAGGCTGACTCTGGAGTATTGGGAGCTTCTTTTGTTTTTAAAGTGAAAAAGAGAAGTCGCTCAGTCATGTCCGACTCTTAGCGACCCCATGGACCGCAGCCTACCAGGCTCCTCTGTCCATAGGATTTTCCAGGCAAGAACACTGGAGTGGGGTGCCATTGCCTTCTCCATCTTTTGTTTTTAAGAGGAGGATAATTGCTTTACAATGTTGTGTTTGTTTCTGCCACAGAATAACTTGAATTAGTCGTATG